AACACTTTTTGTGTTTGGGTGGGGGCGAAAATTGACATTATGGTTTTCTATTACAAATGGTTTAAAGTTAATTAAGTGTTCTATATGTTACGATGTTTTTAGATTTACCTCCTAATATAAGCTAATAGATTTTGATTATATATTAAGTATTGTAAATTGCAAAATCCTAAACTTGAATAGAGACACAATATTGTTCATTCTTTTGGGCAGAAAGTATTATTATAAAGTTATAAGAAACAACTCCATTTGGTTACCTCGTTTTGTCTCCCTATACCTTCTTTACTGTTCATGGGAAATAATTGATTATGTTAACTTACGAGTAACTTGTTTGTTTTCTTCTTATAAATTAAGTTCCTCATAAATAAACTGTCTATGTAAATTAGGTCTTAAGAGATGTGGAAAGAGTTGTAGATTGAGGTGGATGAATTATCTCAGCCCAAATGTGAAAAGAGGCAATTTCACTGAGCAAGAAGAAGATCTTATCATTAGGCTACACAAGCTGCTTGGTAATAGGTAAATTTCATTACACTTAAACTTAAACTTATATTTATTTTTTATTTTCTCAATTAGAATATAGCTATTTCAAGAAGAAAATATAGCTATTTTTATCCATTTTCATCACTCACTTTAAATAATCATTTTTGTTCTCAAACTTGCTTGGTAACACATGTGTTTATTCTCCAAATCATTTCTACACATGGTTCAAATTATAATATATTTGATATGCGTATCTGAAATTAACTAGGTGGTCACTGATTGCTAAACGAGTGCCGGGTCGAACGGATAATCAAGTGAAGAATTATTGGAACACACATCTTAGTAAGAAACTCGGAATCAAAGATACGAAAACCAAACCGAGCAATAATGGTGAAATTGTTTATCAGATCAATCTCACGAATCCTACCGAAACATCAAAAGAAGAAACAAAAATCTCGAATATTCACGATAACAATAATATTCATAGAGATGGAATTCAAGAAGATCGTCAAGGAAGCAACTACTTGAGTTCACTTTGGGTTCATGAGGATGAGTTTGAGCTTAGTACACTCACCAACATGATGGATTTTATAGACGGACACTGTTTTTAATGTTTCTCTTTGGTCTTTTATTTTACTCTAGATTTGGGTTTTGCTTGTCTTGTTATCTTCGAAGCTGATCAAACACTAATACATCAACAATCTTAAATTAAAAGTTGTTGATGTGGTAGTGTATGATTGGCTAAGTATTTTAATTAATTAGATGAACCTTCTTTGGTTATATATGTAGATTGCTTAAAAACTCTATGCATCGATAAATTTGAGCTTTTATTGTTTATTATAAGCAAAATATTTGGATTTTCGTGAGTGAAATAATATTCAAATAAACCTGTTAAATATTACTTCAACTTATAAGCTAAATTAAAAGAGTCTAAAGATAATGCATGGTAGGTTATAATTGTAAATATAAATTATTTTATTATACTTTGAGATGTCATCAATAAAATTATAGGAAGAAAACCATGTGTATACAGATACTAGCTAGTACATATGTATACCAATCAAGTTTTTTTTGGTTAGCTACTAATCAATTTAATTCAAGAAACTATACATACAAATTTTTCCCAAAATGTCGATATTAGTAATACAAATGAGAAATTGGACCTTCATTGCCTTGGCGACCTTAATTCA